CTGCAAACAAGTGCTTGTGAAAACATCTTCTAAAAAGAAGCTTTTAAGAGAAAATATTTTTTGCCTCCTCTTAGCATCAGACAAGTCTGAACAGCATGAACCAAAAAATAAGTAGTGGTTGTTCTATAGCAAACACATTGCCGGCAGGTGAACTGAGAAGATAATTTACTATTGAACCGTAAGCACATGACCTGACTAAAGAGTGTGAGACGAAACGGATCGTGTGAAGACAACCTTTAAGCTAAAGGTCAAATATTGTACGAATTCATTTTTCCATGAACATACTGACGCATACACTGACCTCACATTCACTTCCATTAATCACAGAAGGCTTTGATTCTCAGCCAATGAATCCTTCAAGTCAAGACAAGTCAAGAGTTTTATGTAATACATGTTTACAAATGTTTCACTCCCAGGCACAGTACATAGTGTATCTGTCTAATTCATTTCTGAAAAAAGAAACAAAAGACAAAATCATAATTTTGATTCCAAAAGTATGAAGCTATATAGTCAGATATCAACCCAATTAATATCCAGATGAATTGGGTTATAATTTTATAATGAAAATTATCATATAAAACAGTCAAATTTAGCTGATCTAGTTCTAACTAGATGTGACACTAGATTTTCTACCAACTAGTAAAACGGTCGTCTCTCTTAATGTGTCCAATTTGTTAGCAGTGAGCTGTCCCTTCCACAACCTTTATTGAGACAAGAGTCCTGAACAAATTGTTCAAAACCAGTGAGTCACTTTACTGACTCTTAATTAACTTCCTATTAGCTAGCCAATTATAATGGAGAAATCCTCCATAAATATGTAGCAGCACAATGGCTTTTGGTAGCTGTATTTATATTGTCATTTCAACTTAACCGCTGTAATATCCCTACGGGAAAAAAAAACTCAACACATCGTTCCTGCAATGAGCTGTGAAGGAGAGAATAAAAATGCTTGCAGAATGAAAGAATCATTGAGTTGGTTAACTCAGTCCAGCACGGCATTTTCCAAACTCATTTCCAATTTAGCACCTCGTTTACTCTTCCATTTATGACTATTAGTTTGCTCTTTCTGAGCTGATTAGCGGTGCTAAATGCCCTGTGGAGGCGCGGAAACACATTTCTTGCAGCTTCTTGAGTCATGTTCAGCCGTTTCAAAAAACAGAGACATTTTTTGGATTTATTTTCAGATACATTTTGTAGAATGGTGAAAATATTTTCCTTTGCTTACAGTGAGAAGTCAGTGGAGTAGCTGAATGCATTGTTTGGTTTGGGAAACATATTGTGAAATATCAACAGATCAAACCAGTTATGTGACAGATGTCTTTAGGGAAGTTATTATTTTTCCTTGTCCCCTCTTTTTTCTCGGACAGCCTGTCGCTTTTTCTGTTCTTTTTAATGCCCACTGGCTGAGCAGTGGGAGACCATGCAGTCATACTTTGACCATAACCGGGCATGAGAGACGGAGAGCAAGAGAGAGAGAGTGCAGAGTTAGGAGAAACACATAAATATGCACAAACCGTCAGCAAAACTAAACAGTGGAAATATTTACCCACGTCATACCAAAAAGGAAAAAAAAAAGAAAATTTCACCCTTGATCTCATTGACCACACCGTTTAAATTCTGTCAGCTGCACATCAGATGAGATGTATCCTCCGACTAATTCGGATGTTTTTCTGTTCAGAGTAAGTTTGAACTTAAGAGGGAAATTCTGCCTTGAAAATAAACTCCTCAGGTCCCCAAACCACAGATGTCTCCACTTTGGCACATCCATGCTGTTCTCCCAGCGTTCGCTGCCAGCTGCAGGCCTGTTTTCATGCTTGAACTGAGCACTGGCAAAACAATGAGGGGAGCACAATTCTATAGATATGTGGAGGAGAAAAATGGGTTGTCGAGAAGAATATTAATCACATTAAAAAGCAGAAAAGTCGAGAAAGAAAAACAGTGATGCTGTTCTTGTAAAAGGTCAGAGAGAGAAAAGGATGAAAGAGGTAAAGTTAGAGAGGGAGAAAAGTGTTTCCAGTAAGAAGAAGTCAACACTGAGTAAAGGAAATCAAAGCCGGCACTCAAAGAGCAAATCACTCAGATGAAATCCACTCGGTTCTGTGCTGCTTTTTATAAGCTGTTAACATGACCTCCAGGCTTAGCAGGTAGAAAATAACGTTGGAATATCAAAAACTGCTTTACGAAAAAAGTTTCACTTTAACATAAACTGTAGGTTTGTGTCTGTGTTTCGTGGTTTTGGATAAAATATGTCTGTTCTTTATTTCTTCATAGTGGATAGTGTCCAGATATTTTAGTCAAGTAAGAGTAGTGATACTCCATCTTAACATCATTCCAGTAGAATGAACTGTATGGTGTGATAAAGCTACTCGTAGGTGAGTTTGGTGTAGAACATCTTGTCCTCAAACTGGGAGAAAACCTTTAGACGAGCGAGACTTTCTCGTCCAACATCAGTGACTGACCTCACATTTACTTCCAGAAGAATCAAAGCCTCACACAACCCCTAACCCCGGTGAAAAGCAATCCCAGAAGAGCTGAAAATGATGAGGCAACATCATTTTATGGATGGATCAAGTATGGATCAAGTAGGGGATGTTAATCCAGTTAATATCTGTGAAACTGACACATTTGTGTGTCCAAACAAAGTTTAAAATGAAGAGAAATACAAGAAACTTTTACTGCACTTATTTAGAGTCTGCAGTGTTTGACGGAAGTGCTGAAATTGAAGATGCTCATCTATATCTGCTTGTTTGCATCTGAACTTTCTAGCTAAGGCACAAGATGTTTTCTCCTGTCTCCTGCACCCCCTCTACTGGGGCTTTGGAAATGAAGACCCCCAACTTAATCAATAATATAATTTTTGAAACTGTTTTTTTGATAAAAATTTCTTTTAGGTTTTGATTAGGTGCAATATTTAGAAGACTTATGGGACCCTCTAAAAAGACCATGTCACGTCAGTTTACCATGTTGTGGTAAAGTGACGTGAACATTTATAATTAAATGCGTTTTTTCCTCTGTAAACCCTGCAGGATGTTGACTCACTCAACAGTTATATTTGCTCTCGTTTCTCTCGAACAGTGACTGGACTCTGACATTTGGGAAAGCATCTTGTTTGCACGTCACAGCTTGTTTCTCTTCTGGTCATTTCAGGATGGCTTGTGGGGAGGCTGAGACCGCTAGGATTTTTAATATAGCTACTATAATAAAGTCAAGCACCATCTGGCTGCCAGCGGACTCGGGTGGATTTCTCCCTGTTCTCGGAAACAGAAAGCAGTCAGACATGCAAATACGGAAAGCCTGAAAGAAAGAGAGAAACTGAGAACTGTGTCCATGTTTCACTCAAAGAACCATGATCCGCTTTGAACCAAAGAGAACGCATTTTATGGTGTTGAACAATGACATACATCTCAGCCTCTCATAACCCTAAGCAGACAGATATTCTGTGGTAAAATGTGTTTGAGTCAAAAATAGCAGAAATGCGTTCAGAAACCAATTGATAAAGTCTGGGCTGCACTCGCTCACAAATTTGTGAAGGATGAAATAACAGCAGATTTAAATAGTGTTGGGTTGTCCTGGGCGTAAAGGTGCAAACTGCATTCAACAACATTTGAGCAAATAGTTTGCAACCTGTCAAAGTTTGCAGTAGCACTCAAATGCCTCCGAAACCAAAGTCTTATCTTTGACCAGGAATGACTCGCTTTGAACAATCTACCCAAATTGTCTAAGGCAAGTTTAAACAGACCATTTAATACATCTAGTCTAGTCTGTAGCATTATTGCTCTGATTTTCTTTAGTTATTAGAGAAGGCGCACATTGTACTTGACCTTGCCAGCAAGACAGTTTTCATTGGTCGTCTCTGCCTCGAACAAACAACCGTTGTTTGACTCACTGACAGTGCTGGCTTTTGCTCCTGGTTCATAAAGTAATAAATGATAAAATAAACATAGTAATTATAACATTCATTCATTATCTGCCTGGTCATGGAGGCAGCAGCCCAAGCAGAGAGACACAGACTTCCTTCTTCCCATAAAAACGAGTCAAATGTTTTTATGACTTGTTCAACTCTGCCACTCCTCCGATGTTGAGAAACCCAAATAGAAAGCGCGTTACGTCGACTGAAGTGAAAAATGCAAATGTGTGCGACACTGTTTCTGGGGCTCTGAACTCTGACAAAAAAGAAGAAGAAAAAAAGAGCCAGATAATCTCTCCAGCGTGTCCTGGGTCTGGCTAAGGCACAGTTCAGTTTAAGATATTACTGAATTTCTATTTGTGATCCTAGAGGTGGTGTAGACAGCTTTCCCAAATATAAATATATCAATATAGTTACTGAGGAGAGTCTTTCCTAAATCTGCTTTTTTAAATTCAATATCATTGGACTAATGTTTGTATTTATCAAGAAAACAAAAGCATATTCTGAAATGAAACAGAAAGGCAGATGAAGCTGGTGAGTTTGGAGGAAAGAATGTCTTTGTTTCCTGTCATTATCTGCAATCTCTCTTGTTTTGTCATGTTTTTTGTTGCCATGTTCTGTGCAAAGCCTGGACATGTAGAGCAAACACAATGGTTTTGTTGAGATACTGCAAAGGCCCAGTTTTTTTTTGTTTTTTTTCACCATTTTTTGTTTTTTTAGTCAAAAGAAAAATCCCCACTCTTTGTAGGATGGAAATCGATCTTCCTGCAGGGTTTCTGCAGGCTCACTTTTGTTGTGGTTTCTGAGGAACTCGCAGGTGGTCCCAGGAGTTTCAAGAGTATTATTTAGAAAAGCTTTCAAGTAGAATAAATACTGCAAAGCAAGGGGTGCAGCACTCATTCACAGTAACTGCAGCAGAAAATGTGCAGTAATCCTGTTCAAGTTGGAGCTGGTTAGACACTGAGGGAGACTTTGTTCAAGAATTTCCTAAGTACTAATTGAGCTTCATTTAAGTAAGGGTATTTCCAGTCCACTTTAAATCTTTCTAACTGCAAGTCGCCTGTTTTGAACAGATTCTCTCTGAGAAAGCTCGTATCATCCCAGATTTGCTTCTTTAATTTAACAATGATAAATGCACAGCAATGAAATGGAGCTGATAATCATTATCAAAAAAAAAAAGTTTCCAGAGTTTGAAACGACTAAAAAATAAATAAAACCTCACAGATCAGATGCAAATTGTATATTATAATCGTGAAAGAGTGATCAAGAACAGTTAAAATAATGCATAATGCATTAGACTGCACTGTAGCAACGACTTGTTCAGTTTGTTAGCGTTTTCCTTGTCGCGTCATTCTGCTTCAGATCATAAACTGTGAACCTGAAGGGTAACGCGAGTCCTTCCATATGTTGGTTTCTCCGCAGTTGGTGGTCCTCCTCTGACACCTCCGGCAGCGTTGGCGTTCTCCGAGCTTGTCCACCAGGAGTTTTCCAGCAGACCTGTAATCAGAGAGGCATGGAAGGCAAGAGAAGGGGAACATGTCTGGAAACAAATTGAAATATATTTTGAAAGAAAAAAAAAAGATATGAAAAAGTGATTTACAATCCTTCGACAGAAGACGTAGAATCTAAGTTCAGGAATCACCTGCATCCTTCCTCTCATTTCCCATGCTGTTATCGTGCGCTGTTGAATACCTATCTAATTTATTGCTCTGTTTCCACAAATTTCAGTAAAAGAAATTAAATTGAGGAACCCAGATTCATATTTCCATCAGCTTCGGGAAGTTTGAGTGTGTTTCAACAACACACCTCAGGAAGCGCCTCTCCTCGTCCTCTCGCTCGCGTTTGAGCTCCACACTTCGACTCCAGTCGTTCTCCAGGGATTTTCGGAAGGCGCGCTTCTTTTCGAAATGATTGGTCTTGTCCTGCATCAACCTGTCCAGAGGGTGAGGGAGCACATTTCAGTTGCACACTTTTTTTCCCCCTCGCACGTCTTTCTGGGATCAAATTTTATGTCCTCACTCTGTTTTAGTGTGTGTTAGCATTTCCTTTTCCTCTTCCAGCTGTAGTTGACGATTCTGGATCTCCTCCCTCTTTCTCTGAGTGGCAACGCTGAAGTTCGCTTGTAAGTCCTGGAAGAGTACAAAACACAGGTGTAAAAGAGCAGTGCTGATGAATACCCAGGCCATTAAAAAAAACAACAAAAAAAGAAGAATCAATAGCTAAAAATTTAAAACGAATAAGTAGGTAACCTTTTGTGCTCTCTTTTTGCTCTCTGCCCTTCTAATTGCTGTTTCGCAGCGATTTAGTCTTGGTTTGTCAGGCGGACACTCGGGACACGATGTGAACATCTTGTCCTCCACCTGAAAGGCAGTCAACACGATTATCCATCAAACAGAAACATTTGGGTTGCAAATGCTTCATACATTTATGTTGAGTTATGTTTGAGGAGGTTGTGGATGAACATTGGTGAAGCATATTAGAAAAATTATATTCACCCTTGATATTGACTATTAACCTCAATTTACTAGCTATTATCACTTCCAGAAATAGAAAGGGCACAAAGATAAGTCTTTCCAAGTGAATGAAAGCAATATTAATAATCAGAGATGGCTTTGTGTTTCCTAGCCTGAGCATCCAGAGCCTTCCTGTAATGCTCGGTTTTCTCCAGTTTCTTCTGGAGCTGCTGAGCCCTCTGCAAAGCTATCCTGAAATCAAAACATACAGACACACACACACTGGTTGCAAAACACATGAAATCCAGATATCTGACTTGTTGCTCAGTAACTCACTCCTGTGTCAGCTGCATCTGGTCAAGTCGCTCGGTTAGAAAGCGGTACTGCTGGTCCTGAGCCACGAGTTGCTGTCTCCTTTCCATCTGGCTCCGTAGATCCCTCCTGTAACGATGCTGCTGTATCCTCTTCGGGGGAGTGACTGGTCGAGCCGGGAAGACGAACGATCTCTAAGCACAATCCGGAGGGGGAAAAAAAAGAAAACGGCATATTTTCCTTAAGTTAGTCTTGTGCAAATTCTTCTGAGGTAAACAAGAAATATCTGAAGGATTCTGTTGTGTTAGCAAAGAACACCGATTTGCACTGGAATGAGAACTTCCTGCACTACAGGAGAGATCAGATTGTGGTTATGTCTGATTTTGACCATTTTTTATCAGTGAGAACAAGGCAAAAAAAAAAAAAAAACAATGATGATGATAACCGATTAATTTCATGCCCAGCAGTCTGGAGGAGTCTGTGACTTGGACATAAAAATTCACGTAAGTTTCCAAGCACAGAACCTGGAGGAACTCAACAACTAACGCATGTAAGGAAGAGTCATGGATTGGACATATGAACTGGAATAAATCAGATCAATATAACTTGAACCAGAGACATTGAAAGGTCTTCAGAGGTCAGTGAACTACAGGCTCAAGAGGGAAAGTTGCTGTGCTTACTTGTTTCATGTTTTCAATTCACCTTACCACAGTTCTTTCAGAAGTTTATAAGCTTCCTGCTAAAACGAACCAAACTGATTCCAGTAAAGTAAAACTGCTTTCTATCGTGGTCAAAACATTAAACCGACGCACGTGACCAGAAGCAACCACAATGAGTCGGTAAACGGCACATAGATGAGCAATCAAAACCAACTTAGGAAATTCCCACAAACAGGCTCACTGAAGCAAACCGCTCTGCTACATGTTGCCACTGCAGCAACCAGTTGCCATTACGCTGCACAATAAAAAGGTTGTGTAAAGGTTGTTGGTTTCATGTTTGCTTCTACTAACAGGACAGTCGGAACAGGAGCTCTTCTCCCGCCTTGACACGTGCAAGTTGAACGCGGCCACCTTCTTGGCCCGCTCACGCCGCTCAGTTAGTTTTGCCTGAAGACAAACACACTTTCAATAAACATTGAAAATCATTATTAGCATTTTTTTTTCACTTTTACATAAATCAGTGTAATTAATCGTACTCTTTTGAATGCAGAAATTTAATTTGTTGTAGTCGTTGTTTCATGTTACACAGAGGTCATCTTACCAATTCTGGGATTGCTCTAGTTTTGAGAAAAGCATTAGGTCTGGCACCTTTGAAATGAGTGTAATAATGTTGATGGCCATTCATCTCCATACTGCCATAAATGGCTGACAAAAGTGATTTGTCTTTGGAGAGCACTAAAGTAAATCACTATAATACATTGTTATTTACAGAGTATCCTTTTCTAATTAGTAAATAGATTTTTGCGGGAGGGTTTCATTATTATGTCTATGGCTGGAGTTTCCCCCATTACCGACTTTTTGTTGGAATTTTTTGTTTCTGGAATCGGAAAAAGTCATTATTGGCAGAGACAATTTTCAGGTGAATCACCCCCACATGATCCAGCAGCTTCTACACGTATCCTTCTCTGGGTGAACAGGTGCTCTGATTCCTAGTCATTTCTTTTGTGTTTATTGACTCTGGACTCCATCTGGAAACTCCTGTCATCAATCAGAAACTCCCTAATTGTGCCGGTAAAGTTTTCTTTTCCATTAAATAATCCACCCTGATGCGAGGAGAGGATTTTCCAGAAAGGAATTCAGAAAGAATGAGGTTATCAAGATGAATAAATACTTAAGACAGTAAAGCCCCAGTTGTTTTCCAACTAAAGGAAGAACTTTTAGAAAAAACTTTTAGGATTTTTTTTTTTTGTCATATTCACATTTTTCAGACTCTAATTACAAATAAAGTGGTGTGTTCTGGATGTACTCTGGGACACACCAGCTCTTGCTCCATCTCTTGCTCATCTCTCAGTTGTTCCTTAAGCAGTAAAAGATTTCCATGAGCGTTCTCCTCATGGTCTCGTTGCTCCCGTCCGTTCTCTGGAACATTCCTCAGAGCCCGCTGCATGCACACGTAGCACAGCTCCTACGGAGAGAGTTGGAAAGTTAGGTTTCTTGGAAGCCGGGCCGGTGCGGGAGGGCTGCTCTGCAATGCAGCTTGGAAATGGCATTGCAGGGAGGAGCTACGCCTTGAAGGCGGAGCTAGGTCCACCCAGCAATGGTTGCAACGGGAGATAAAAGAATTTCTCAAACGTGTGAAAGAATCAAAGCAGCACTCCAGGTATGTTTTTGATGAGAGAATAACTTGATGAAAAGCTCAAAAAGTTGATATTATATAATATTGACCCTTTAAATATTTGTGTACATTTAGGGAAGCTCATATGCTGTTGGAGGAGTTTTCTTCTTTTGAGGAAATTGTTATTTTTGATTGTCGCAACATCCTCACTCAGGAGGAAATCACTGCTGCTATCATTTGGTAGATGACTTCTCACCAAGAGTATAAACTGAACTTCGCCACAGTAAATTAAAACTATGATTAAAGTGGATTACACTCACAATTGTAGATTTTAAAGACAGCAATGCAGATATTAATTAAATGATGAGTCAGCAGTGTTCAGTTAAATCAATGGAAAAAGTAGTGGTACCCATGACTGATCAATGATGATACAGAAAGGGCAAAAACTTACCTGTTCAGGAAGGATCTGACCAGAGCAGCTGAAATTTTTCAGATGCTGGTCCAGCTTGGGAGGTTCTCCATGTAGCACACTGGGAATAGTGGGAATGAGAGTTGAAGCAGACTGCTGCACACACCAGAAAGACCATGATGTTTGAAATGAAAGAAAAGACAAAGAGTTTCTCCACCTCAACACATTTCTATCAATAGCATTAAGCATACTAAGGAGGAGTTGAGGGCCCTGCGTCCCATCTTGGATGTGGGATTGTCAGAATTTGGGCTGGTTGGATATTGATGGTGTAGCTGGAGTGGATGGTGGTTCTCCCTGGGCTGCTGTTGCGGTGAAAGTGATGAATGTTTGGTTGTAGGTTTAGGAGTACGATTGGAGCCGCTAGCCCACCTGTTGTCATGAAATGCTTGGCAGGTGAGTTGATCTCATACTGATGATTGTTGAGGGGTCCGGTGGCTGTGGGCCTCACTGGCATCTGCTCTGTTGCCTTCGCAGAAGGCCTTTCTGTATTATGTTATGAGGTCCTAAGTCCTTCTTCCTGGCTCTTCCTGGATTTACTTTCAGACATTCCTAGATGAACTCACTGTTCTTGAGTTAACATTTGTTCCAAAGACTTCTTTTATGTGCCATTTCCATTATCAAAGCTTCAGGTGTGCTTGTCCAAGCAGAAGCCTGAAGTGAAAAGAAGAGGATCTGTCCGTTCTACATCATTTATGGCGTCTGAAGCTGTTAAAGAGTCAGTGACATTAATCTGAGACCCCCATGAAGCTCTCAGCTCTCCCTGATTAGCCTGCTTATTCAGAGTGCTGAAAACTGACCCGCCTTATGAAGTCTCTGTGTGTGTTTTCATCCACGTGTGTGTTGACTACCTGCTAGTGGGCTCCGCAGGGGGCATTGGATTCAGTTCCCCAGTCAGGCCGACAGCTTTCATCTGCAGTGAGTGATTGGATTTAGACTCTCTTTGCTGGGGAACCTCTGCAAAGAAACACAACACTCTGAGTGGCTTCACTGCTTTAAGGTTCCGCAAACTATCTTGGTTTCACAGTGGAGGCTATTAATTATGTTGTTCTAAACACTGAATCTAAGCCACGACGTGGGAACATCTTGGGGGACATGTACAAGTTCTGGACTGAAGCTAAAGTCACACAGACGCTTCCAGGACATAACTATTATCTATGAGCCACAAACATCAGGAGCAACTTTAAAAACATAACTGTTGATCAGCAGTCCAACAACGTCTTTTTTGATGAACGTATGCTTAAGATTGAATTTTAAAATCTCTAGAAGAATGAAACAGAACAGGACTTACTCAAGAACCAGTGTGAAGTTTCCACAGTCACTGGTGATTCGAGGAGACATGCAATCCTCTGTTTTATTGAGTCTGAACAACTCGAACTACAAGAAGCCCTGATCAAGTTAGAGCTTGTATCCAACAGTGACTTACTTCTCCATATGCATTGTAGTCAACTGTATTTTTATTGTTTTGATCTACTATGTAAATATTCAGTGAAACCTGATTTTAGGGTTTCTTTTACTATAAGCTATTAACTTTAAAATGGCCCAGAATTACAACTTCAAATAAACCCCTAAATATTTGTAATTTCTTAAACTGAATTACTGAAATATTTTGTATGATAATGTAATTGATTTTAGATTTATCTGTTGGTCATATTGAAATACAGCTTAATCCTTTAATATAATCAGCTCGAGTTTCTCACTGACAACTAAAAATATGCTGTTCTGATTAATAATGATTCAGAGTACTAAAATAACTATGACAGGCAACCAGCTTCCCTGAAAATCTCAAACGATGACGTCACTGCAGATTAAACAAATATATCAGGAAATTGAAGCAAGGGTGCAGGAAAGTCTATGACCAAAGGGCAGATGAACTGTTGATTTTACTGCCTATCTGGAGCGAATTGGTTAATAAATGACATTGCAAAAAACAGATCTGCTTCCTGTTTCTTGAATCACCATGAAGCTATTTGAACTATTCTTTTTTGAACTTTAAATTCAACAGTAGTCTCTTATTCTCACCGTGTTTATCGTTTCGTTGGAGTTGTGCTGAAAGTAGCTCTGGGTTCCCACATGTGCGCTTTTTATTTCACAGTTTCATTCCCTTTTAGGATGAATTCACATCAGCTCCATTCAGTTCACAGTTTGTTTGCCTAGAAAGTCCAGTTTGCTTGATGAGATGTGAATGCGTAATTAATCTCTGCATCAGACCAAAAAAGTGAACTCTGCTCTGCGGGGCAGGACATGTTTTTTTGTTTGTTTTTTTTTGTTGTTTTTTTAAGGGTACAGTGTGAAAGCGAACCGCACCAACTGAAAGGGAAACAAATTTATTATAATGTATTATATTTTGGCATCTGAACTAAGTTCTCCTTTATTTCAAAATCTAAGACTCTTGGACTTGTTGAATGAGGATTGGAGTCTCATAAAACATACAAATTCTTGAAAGTCCATTTTGTGAGCTTTGATATCTTTAGCGTGTAATAAAAAAATGGACACAGTTCAAGAACCACATTGTATTATTTGGTTTTGATTTCGACTCTGGTGCAGGCAACAATTAAAAAGGCAGATGTCAAGATCATTTTTACAAGCCTGAAATGCTCAGTGAAGTTCAGTGTGTTTCTCAGAGCGGGTTTCCAGGGGAGGACACAGAAGGGAGAGGCGAACAATCCGGCAGTGTTCAACATTCCAGCTGGTAAAGGAGTCGAGAATCTGGGAGGAGGTTCGTCGCTCCATTGATCTGAACCTGACTGGTGCTCGTATAACAGACCGTTCTCTTGTTCTTCCTCTGATATTGTCGACAGCTGGTGGATTTGGTGGAGGTCGGACAGGCAGGTGATCATGCGATAGACAAGTGTGAATTCGACTAGAGCAGGAGCGCAGCATGAGGAGCATCCAGGAGAACAAGCTCTGCTTCGAACAAAGAGACCAAGGAGGAGGCCACAAGCCACAACTTGATCTATTAGGAAGAATATGGAACGGCTTTCCGAGTAGAGGAACAAATAGCTGGTGCCAAGATGAGTCAAGCATGACATAGGAAAAAAAAACAGCGAGGCCTGATTATGTCTAGGTGGGAGTGAGATCTGGTGATCAGGCTGAGCTGGTTCCTCCAGAAGCACCTCTGTGATGAAGCTGACAGGCAGCAGCTGTCAGTGACAACCCTGCACGCACATTCGTTCAGCTCAGCCTGAATTTAGAGACCGAGGAGGTTGAACAATTGTTCATTTTTAATTCCTAAGTGCGTGAGCCTTTAGATTGTTGGTCAAAAACAAAATAAAATGCATAAAAAAATCAAACTTGATGTGTAAATTCAGAAATGAAAGCCAAAACAGGTTAAATTAATTTAGATCAATGTGAAAATTCCATTAAACCACATTCAGTGTTAGACTTTTTATCTTTTGGTAATTGAAAGCAAACTAAATTAAATATTCCTTTTTTTTCCCCAATACTTTTCCAGACCTTAAATATTAGAAAAGTATGTTACTTTATTTTTCCAGATGTGCCAAGACTGCACAGGGACTTTAAGCGAAGATCCCTTTCACCTTTTTTGCTCCTTTGGTCCCCAGGTGGCAAAACGTTTCCGCCATCTTTGCTGATTCCTTTGTTATCCGTCTGAGAAAAGCCGATAGCTGTGAGGGAGACACGGCAGGCAGTCTGTGGCCTCTGAAGCTCAGTGACGTCACCAGATGACAAGAAAACGCTGCTCCCAGCTCTCTACAGGGACAAAAAGTACAATTAATCTGCACGTATATCTCTGCAGACTCCTTACTAATTGTAAATGTATAATATTATTATTATTACTTATTTTTTTAGTTGTGGCTCTTTTTTTCCCTTACCATCCTGGGATCTTTCAGCGTCTTATGTGTCTCACTGATTGTATTAATGAAGTCCCTGCTGAACTTCATCTGAGCCTTTCAGATATGCGGAAAAAGAACACATTTGGTTCAGCTGCTGTGTCAATCCGCACGAGTGAAACAGAAACCGAGCCGGAGCAGACTGGTCACCTTGTTGTCCCTGAAGGACAGAACTCCAATTCCCTTGAAAGGGAGGAATATGTGCCTCTCTGACGCTAAGGCTCGGTGCAGCACTGCCAGAGTTTCTCTAACGCAGGCCTCCACCACGTCTCGACTGTAGGGCGTCTGCTGCGACACGGCTGCGAAGCTCAGAGGCACAACAGGCACCTGTGCTGTGTGAGCCGACAATACATGGGTCATCTTGCTTTGTATTTACTGTGTAACCCAATAAATACAATACAAAGAAAAAAAATCATAAACTGAAACATATTCACTGTCATCTGTCTTCGCTATTTCTCATTTACACACCTTTAACCTCCACTGTCAGGGGAGTTACTTCAAATCAAGGTAAGATTGTATAGTTCATCAAATCATCCGATGATTTTCAGTGGAAGAGGTCAAGAAAATTACAATCTGGTTTGAAAAGCAAAAGGTTTGACTTAAGAAAGGTTTTGACTCTAAGAGACTATGTTGTTGTCATTCAGTGTTCTTCTTGCCTGGTAAAAAAAAATACAGCCCCCCTTATTCAACGCTTTACTTCATAAGAGTGTCTGGATGTTCAAATATTGAGAAACGATGGACCCGATTTAACCCAGTCGCTAACGTTTGGCTGTGATGCGTCTGACACGCCAGCTCGATCGTGAAGATAGCTGCACTACAAAACTGACTGGAAATTGCGAGTGGTGTAAACGACCTCAGGAGCCCACCGCATCTTTGTTATCTCTGCCAGCAATAAAATGTCTTTGAACGTTTATCTTCCTCCGTCTGTTATTACTCAGTACTTGGAAGTTTGGCCAGCATGGACTGAATGGCTTCGCTCACTTCTTCTGTTGTCTTTACCAGACTCCCGTCACGGGCAAACCCCAATTTTAAAACAACACAGAAACTTGACATCGTGGTTCAAAACTCTTCCTTCTCGTTGCCGATTGGCCAGAATGAAATGCATCTTGAGAAATCAAGCTCAATGGGGCAAATCCCAGATGAAGTACAGGAGGGAGATGAGAATTGAGCAGAATAGAATAGGAAGGCAATGGCCATGCTAGTATTGTTGTAATTCTATACCGATGTAATATATGCCCAAGAACTAGCTAGTTAGTTTCTAACTAGCATAGAAACTAATTAAGGACCTCCAGAATGTCTGATCAGTTTCAGCAAAACTTGACTCTCTTATTTGTCTTCATTATTTCCAAGAAATCTTTTGGGATCAAATCGCATCTTGGGAGATATCCAGTTTAAGACGTTTCTTTGCTCTCATAATGAGAAGACTTCTTTTTTATTTCTTTGTTTTTTGGGAGGGGGAAGGTTTTCCAAATTGTAACACAGCTGATAGCTGCGTTTTGTTGACAGATTCACAGGTAAACACATCTTCCGAGAAGAGGGCAGAACTGGTGAGCAGAAACGAAAGTTAAGCAATAGCTTAAGCTAATATGACACAGAATCAAAGCTTATCAGCTTTGTGTCAGTCTGTACAATGCTGGGAAACGAAATGGATCCCCTTCACAGATTCTTTTGGGGGGGGTTTTAGTCACATTTGAATACTTTGTATCATCACACAAATGTCAACGTCACACAAAGATAACCTTACACAAAATAAACAGTTTTCAAAAGATTTCATCCATGAAAGGAAACAACAACCAGGTCTGATGAGAGCCACACCAGAAAAAACAAACAAAATATTCCTTTAAAAAGAACCTGTGACAACATGAAACGAGCTACAGATAGAGAACCTAGGACCCATCTGTTGTAAATAATAATAATAATAATAATAATAATAATAATAATAATAATAATAATAATAATAATAATAATAATAATAATAATAATAATAATAATAATAATAGCACAACCAGTCATTATGTACAGGGGTTATTACTTTTTCACAGAGAAGTGATGAATTAATATATATATATATATATATCTTCTCTTAAGATATAAAATAACACAATTTCTTTTGTATTTGCTCTTTTCTTTGGCAATATTAACATTTCTCTGAATGATACCAACATTAATACAAAATCAACAACAGAACAAAGTTGCAAAGAAGAACATAATTTCTCATGGTCCTGCAGACAGATTTTGATGTGGAGTTACTGCAGATTAATTATTCCTCTAGAGCAAAATCTCCCAGCTCCAGTCATCCTGCATGTCAAGATTTCCCTGCGTTAGCTGACATGACCCTAAAGGGTCAAGTATTTCCTTGGCATCTTTAAAGACGAGTGAATTTCTAAAAGAGAAAACATTTAAAACCCTCTAGAGGCTAGCCGACTCCTTGTGGGCTAAGGATGCTATGGAGAACATTTACTGTGCAACAATGGAGGGAAAACTAAGCAAAGACACGCTATTCCAAAATGTAATATTACATTTTTAGTTGTGGCTTATCAAAAAGAGCCAGCTATTAGTTATTTCTTTGCTCACCTTCGGCCAACCACCTGACCTGCTGTAGACCCAAAGACTGAGAGAGTTTCCCTGCCAAGATGAAGATGGGATGACGGACCTGGGAGAATCTGTGACCTGTGTTGAAATTCTGCAGAGAAAATGTGAAGGTCCCCAATCCTGATAGGCTGACCCCCTGTTGAAGATAGATAGATAGATAGATAGATAGATAGATAGATAGATAGATAGATAGATAGATAGATAGATAGATAGATAGATAGTAGATAGATAGATAGATAGATAGATAGATAGATAGATAGATAGATAGATAGATAGATAGATAGATAGATAGATAGATAGATAGATAGATTGATTGATTGATTGATTGATTGATTGATTGATTGATTGATTGATTGATTGATTGATTGATTTACCTTCTGCAAGTTCATCTGACATTGTATATAGAATGATACTCCTGTCCATATACATTCAACATCTGGAAAGAAAAAAAAAAAGATCGTCATTTCTCCTGGCTTTTCTGTCCAACCAGCGCAGAACAACTTGAACTGTAATGATTAACCACGTTGCGTTATTGGAAGAAAAATACCTTTTCTCGATAACTGCGACATCCGCGTGTCCCCTTCGGACACCAGCGGCAGGATGTTGCTCATCCCAGCATCTCATCCAGCCTCAGACCCGGAAGACCTTTAGACAGAGTCCGCAGAGGCGCCTTTTGACGGCGACAGGCGCGGAGACGCACCTGGAGGACAGAGTCGCACCAATCACGCAAAGAAAAGAAAGTCAAAGGTCTGGCTCTTGATTTCTGTTACCGTTACAGCAAACCGCAACTTAAGCCTAAAGGGAAACCTAAAACGTTCAGGACCATGCGTCATGTATTTTATTTTTGCTTTTATTTTTGCATTGAACGGGCTGACAGGTTCAATAGAAAGGCGGGGCAGGAGGATTATCAAATTAGAGATAAATGGCAGGTTTGCCCAGCGTGTGGCGCACGCAGTTAAATAAAGAAAAGCAAAAGTAGTGGACATTCAATGGATCGCCTGACAACTAGAACTGTGGCTGACAGATCAAGGAGAGGTGGGAGGACTTCTAGGGAAAAGTCACTTCACGCGTCAAAGTCGTTCACACGTCGGAATCAAACCAGATCACAATGAAGGTGAACGTTCTGCTGATGCTCCTTCCTTTCCTGACAGGTAATGTCATTTTTATTGTTTACACCACTTGTTAACCTGTGTAGAATGAATTACTACGTCTCTCTCTCTCTAAAGATAGATAGATAGATAGTACAGCTCATTTCAAATGCATATATAAATTTTATATATATATATATATATATATATATATATATATATATATATATATATATATATATATATTTTTTTTTTTAATATATATATATTTTATATATATATATTAATATATATATTTTTTTTCTTTTTTTTCACAAATAAAATTAACTATTTGTTATCCATTTGTTCTGTCTAACATGTTAACAATTATGAAGCCAATATTGTTCATTGTGCAATTATAAGGTTTGAAGTATTTTCATTTTTTTTCATTTGACCAACATCTGGTAATTACTCCTGGTAATTTTACCAGTACTCTTGTCAACAACTGTTGATCTCTCTTCTGATTGGTCGTCATATTAAAGCTTAGGACTGGACCAGAGCCTAATTCTTACTGGAATCTGATAATCTGTGGAGGAAACAACAGATTAGGAACCACCCCCCCCTAACAATCAGGGAAATTATTCTGACTCACTTAGATAAGATGAAAAACTCAAGACCTTCAAGTCAACCTCAAAGACATGAGGCTCATTGTAAAAGATAAGGACCATAATTTTCTCTAGCTGAGCAACAAGCCTGTTCATGCATTTAGGCAACAAGAAACGTTTTACCGAATTGTCAACATGAAAATTGCCTCACCCAAAGATCAAAGATGAACATATTCAGGTTCTGCAGTGTCTAAATTGTGTTTTCTTTAGTGTCAAGCAAAAAAACATAAAAAATAAATAAATATATGAATATATTTTGCACTGAGTGCCAAAAATCCTTTTAGTGAAACAATTGTGTTCAATTTAATGGAAAATATAATCCCTAAACTATGCAGTGTCTATAGTGATTCACTAAGGAGGCTCCGTGTAAATATTTGCTTTAAGATGTTTTTGTTATCTTCAATAGAAACCGTTTAATGAGACAGAACAGTTATCACTGCACTCTCAGACTCACATAAAAACTTTCCTCTTTTGTTTTTGAGTTTGTCTTTGAACCGCTAACTGATTACAGGCTGCTGCTGCTAAAGAGTGTGCCGTTTTCAAACAGATTTATACTGCCTACAACCAAGTCCAACCAATAAATCAGCTTCAATTTCACTCTCTGTTGCAGGAGTACTTTCACTGAGCCCTAAAACAATATACACCAGGGCAGGGGAGTTGGTGGTGCTGCGCTGCCCTCAGAAAAATGACCCTGACACAAGTATTCTGTGGACCAATCAGACGAATCGGGGGATGAATCTGACCAGCATCCTGTCAACACAATCAGCTGATTTGAGTCAGATGGACGTGCTTCTACAGGGACAAAGTCTTGTGATACTCAGAGCCTCTTTGAGCCATCAGGGAAATTACTCATGCTCAGTTAGGTAAGATGAAACACTCAAGACCTTCGAAATGACATTTCTATCTGAATACTAGCAAACATCATCAATTACATGTGGGCTGAATTACAGAAATAAGGGCTGGCTCAGTGTGTTATCTGGATGCCTGATCAGATTAGCCTGGGAAGTTAAATCCTTCTTCCAGCTGTTCCCTAGACGGCTGCTGGGTAGGACCTCTGTTCTGAAAGAGTCCCGAAATAGGTGTGAAGCATCATTCAGTTCAGATTTTTGTTAGCATTGCTCTGGGGAGTAGCTCATATAACAAACTCAGCAGATGCACAGTTCCATCAGGTGTTTGCTAATTGCTGCTGACTAGTCTGAAGGAGCTGAGCCCAGTGGAGGGCTATATTCATTGGACTATATTTTAAACAGTCAGTCAAATTGTATTGTTTGCATTGTGATGAACTTAAGACTTTTTATTCTTTTTCAATCTATATGCTGGTATGTTTTCCAGAGAATATATTCTTATTTGTAATTGTTATTATCTTTTTTTGATGGAAGAAGCTTGTTAATATGTCTATATTGTACTGTTTATTGTTTTTATGTTGATGTAGCCTGAGGGACTGCAGATAAAAACGAGCCTTTATGACAAAATCGGGCATATCATGTGATGTGCATTGTCCCTTAGAAATAAATAAACATCAACAAGTGTTCATGCTGCACCTTATGAATTAATTAGACAACCTCGTAAAAACCCAAATAAATATGTTTGTAGATGCAATGTGACAAAAGGTGGAAAAGTTCACCTACACGTTTGCAAGACACTGCAATCAAGTTTTTCAAACACCAGCCATCCCTGTTTTAATTACAGATGCTAAGTGAAAGTTCTCTTGTCATATTGCTTAATGTTTTGACAGGAATGGCAGCAGAAAGTTCTGGTTCAGCCTGATTGTGTACGAACCCCAGGCCACAGAGTATGAAGAGAGGAATCGGTATTCCACAACATGCTACACGCAAGAGTCCTGCACATTGTATTGTCCCACAGCAAACGTCCCCACTCATGACACTCCGAATATCACAGGCAGAGGAATCACGTGGCACAAGGTATTTGAAAGCAGAGGAAGCACCGGTGTGGATAGTGTCAGCCTGAGAAGGTTGCACGCTTTTATTTCCTTTTCTTTTAAAAACTTCATTTCAAGGTATTAACATATCTTGAACATATCTTCCATCTGGCAGGAGGGCGAGACGATGTCAACACCAAACAACTTCCCGAGTGTAGTGGAAAGAGACGGTGGCATCTACAAGTGCATCAGATCTTTCTTGTACGACGATCAAATTTATAATATGAGCTTCTCAGTAATGCTGGAAATCCAGAAAAGCAGTAAGGAGCATTGATGTATATTTATGCTCTTTATATTTTAAACTATTTTAAGCAGAAACCTTTTTTTTTTTGTGGTTGCATAGCTTATGGGAAATCCGAGATCACCTCGCCACAGCAGAATGACGTGTTCCACATAGACTTAGGTGAGTTCTTGTCTGATTTCATTCTCAGACTGTGTCTTAAAGTTGAATCAATCATTTATGTTTATTTTCAACTCTGTTGTTAGGATCAACATTAGTGATAGAATGTAAAGCTGTCGCCTACTCCGACCATGACATGGTGTTTTGGCTAAGTGAGAATTCATTTGTCGATACGGATGAGAGCCTGCCTGTTTTCTACAATTATTCAAGGTAAAACCTTTTCTACATGTTGTCTGACAAAACTTGTAAAAAAAAAAAAAAAAAGCACAACACAGTCAGCATTTCGCCCACATCTAGTAGAGCTAATACATTTGCTACTTTTCTTTCCATTCTGTTTTGCTCCGTCTAGAACCAAATATATAGATGAAGTAAATATGACAGCCTCGTTGGTCTTCAAAGACGTGACAGAGGAGGATCTGTTGAAGAAATACACATGTAAACTGGAGTCTGACCACCAACAGTCAAGCTTCATCACCATCTCTCTGGCTGAAAAACGCACAACAGGTGAATATTTACAGGATGAGATCAATCTTTAATACACCACCATTAAACTGTAGTCATAATTTGCTGATTTATTACATGTAAATCTTTGACGTAACTTCTTTTAATGACTACAAATTATGTTCAATCTTCCTCCAGCTCGTCTGGTCTGGTTCTTCCCAGTCCTCTGCACTTTGGCCGTCACTGCTGTGGTTCTGATCGTGGCACTGTTTCTGGTGTGCCATGTGAAAAGGTCCAAATATTCCAGTTGCAGAGCATAAAAGCATCTGTGGAGCTCCAGACCAGTTAATCAAGGCTTTGACAAAGTAAGGTTAACATGTTTGGCACCAAGACAATAACTTGGTGATGCTGTGACTGTCAGTTTCTGAAGACTAAAGACTGAAGGAGCTCATGTTTTCATGTTTCTACCTCACACTGCAACCACATAATGCAGCGCATTTATCAGTGTCTTTTTATGCTTGGATTCCCCCTGGTGGAGATCAGTTGTAAGCGCAAGTTTAATTTTACACAGTCGAAACTCAGATGATTCCTGAGATCAATTCAGCAAAATAGGGTGCATTAAACATTCTTCCACTGGCTTCACAGCTAAGATAGAAAAACAACAAACCCACCAGCGTAACTCTGCTTTGTCACAAGCACAATGGGAAGTCATACAAGAAGCAAAGACATAAAAGCTCATTTCATAAAAGCGTAAGAACATGAGATATATCAGTCAAATCTGTCCAATTTTATTTGTGCAGCACATTTTAGCAACTTGACATTTCCAAGTGCTTCACACTTTCAATACAAAAAGATAAAAAGTCACAAACACACAGTCAACAACTGAAACATTACATTTATTCAAGTGCCACAGATACATTTTTCATTGATTTTGTTTCAAAAGTAACTCCAAACAGGTGGGCTTTTAGTCAAGTTTTGAAGGCACTCGGTGATATAATCACATAAAAATTATACGCTGACATAACATTTAAGTCAGTAAACGTGTAGTCTGATTTTTATCAGACAGCTGACTGACATTGTTTTCTTGGTTTGCACATTAAGTATTGTGTGTTTTTTATTACACTCATGACATAAAAGTTGACTTCTTATTGTCTTAAGGTCTAACGAAGATGCTTAATAAGCAACCAGACTGTTTTAATAAAAGTATTTGTGAGTATTTAATAATTCCATGTTTTATTTATTTTTTTATGAAATCAACTAAAATTTCTACAATTCTGGATTTGCATCTCAGAGAGGAATAACAGAATCTAGCAAGCATAAACGAGGGAGTCTTATTATTAATGCCACAAAAGGCAGAGATTATTTCTCTCCTATGAATCGGTTGAAAGTGCTCTACTTTCTCAACCTGCAACAACCGGTGTCAGCCAGCAGGGGGTGGTAGAACATCAACACCTCCAGCATTGAACATGAGTTTGGGTTTATTTGAAATGAATTACTTCTATTTACTAAGCATTCAGAATTTAAAAGGGCTAATAAGTTGTTCATGAGTTTAAATATATTTAAGCTGACACACATGGACTCATTCTTCCATCCAACTATATTTCCTTGTTTTATGTATTAATTTAAAATAAAACCTGATTATGTCTTGCATTGGTTACCTCCAGTTAAGAGGATTCCCTTGCAGCTACTGCACTATATTTATATGTTTTTAGCAGAGCAGCAACACTTATTTTAGTGCTTTTGATGTCATGTCTGTCATCTTTTCCAACATTCAGAAGAGAGATTATGAAGCCGACTGCATAAGCAGCACATGATTTCAGAACAGTGTCATTTCTCTGCCCAGCAAATGAACTGAAAAGAACTGGGCGAAACCTCGTCAGTGATTGAAGGATTTTTTTTTTTCTATTGATACATGAACACATGAAGGCCAAACATCAATAAAAGACTCAGGCAAAGAAAACTGTTGCACAGCGTCCATGTGGGTCTGGAGAAGCTTTGTCAGCATTCTGAAAAAAAAAAAAAAACAACAAAAAACAAAACACAATGATAATGATTAGCAAAGCAGTTTTGTTTCAAGTGTCAGATGGCTAAAGTATTTTACAAAAAGTAACCTCAGCTGAATGTTAGCTTTCAGTCACCCTTCATCAAATCCGAGACAGATGAAAAGCATCTGGATTCACCGGCCACCATTTTTTCCAGTTCACTTGTCTTTTATACGAAGAGATAAATGAAAGTAATAATCGAACAGATTCTGGAAGTTAAGTTGTGGTTAATGCAGGTGTCTGCACAGACAGCGGTTGGTGCGTCAGTCAACATGTTGCACTTTTATTACCAGTGTTTGCTCAGCTTTAAAAGGCTTTCTGCATACATAAATCCCTGCTTAACAGGTAATAGTGAGACACAGATGAACTGAACTGATTGTTTGACAGAACGCCTTGTGTTCGACAATGACACGAGTCACTTCGCAAAGATTTATTGCATTTATTTCAATAAAAGTTGCTCCAATTCATATAACAACATGACCAGACAGAAGACTCAGAGTTCCTCCTTTTTTCTTTCTATACAGTGAATTCAACAGTCTTTTAGGTCTAATAATTTATTTATTTATTTATTCCTAAAAGGTGTTGACATGTTCTCAGGCTGACAGGGGCAACTTTGACAGTAAAAAAAAACTAGAATTTTAAAATGAAATGTTAAGACGTCAGCAAACGTTTATCCAAGAACTGTTGACCACAGTTTTATTGCTGAGTATTTTTCCACTTCAATTCTAGATGAAAAAAATAAATACAAATTGCCAATAACTTTATACCACTGTAGACCTATATGTGGAAAAAACAAAAAACAAAAAAACGGTTTCAATAATCACTGTATTCATGGTCACATGCAGAGTGAAGAAAACCCTCCAATACAGATTATGCAGTTTCTTCGGAACAGGAGGTAAAAAAAAATCAAACATGACTCAGGGTGTGAGAAAAACTTCCTTAAGTTTCGCTTCATCCTCCATCACTCGTTGGTGACGTAGAGGAAGTGGCTTTCAGCGCTTAGGAGGAAACTTAGGCAGAAGTCGGTCTGAGCGCAAACGCGTTGTTGAAATCTGCCGCAGGCAACCCGGGATGGTTCTGCTGCTTCTCGTCCTTCTCTCGGGTAAGTCAACGGCGATGGTCTCTCTCCACACACGTTTGTATCGACGGGCGCTTTGAAAATTATGGTTGTGGTGCGCGATGACGTCACGCAAGGAGAAAGGGGAGAAACTGCGGTGATTATGATTTGAAACACTGTTGTGGTAATGATCTCAAAGTAAATGAAAGTGATTTGTACACTTTAATGCTCATGCTTTAACCAAAAGATGTATGCGTTTATGTTGTTGTCGACATGATAATTAATGGTAATTATCAAAAGAAATCCAATGAGGTCAGGTGGGCGAAATGTTGCCTAGAGAATTTGATCAGGCAGTAGATGAGAAATGCCCTTGTGCGACGATCTCAGGGGAAACATTGAGCAAAGCTGCATAATATCATCAACGTGAAAGCAGAAAAAAAGTGAAACTTTTTTAAAAGGGCTGTCGGAAAAAAAAAAAAAAAACAGGCGTTGGGTGCAAGAAACCTTCCTTCATATTGTGCACACTAAACCCTCGGAAAAAAGAATCAGAGAGATCTTCAAATACTGGAAAATCGTGCATGTTGTTCAGAAGAAATGTGTCTAGTTTTGCACGCCTGACCCCTCCTAGAAATTAGGATGTGGTTAACTTGTCACCTTCTGTATCTTGAGAGCTTCTGCAGACCATGTGGTTGACACATCTGGTAGCATGGTGCATTATTATCAAAGCTTGCATCGAGCTAAAGGGACTAGTTGTAGAAAATTCAGATAGTGTTTGCATGGTCCCTACAAAATTGCAACACTTACCACGTGATCACTGAAGACGGACGTCTTTTCAATAATTTTTCAAGGTTGGACGGTAGAAAGAAAACAGAAATGTGACTTTTACTGTTTATTTTTTTAGCCTGATGTTCAAAGTCTGGCTTGGTTAGTCAATTTGACCCAGAATTATACTTCAAGAGACATATTTTATGTGGCTGTCTTTTCACCTTTTACCTTTCAAACCTCTATATTGTCTAATCTTTGCCAAGGGAAAATTCCATAATGATTTCTAATCCACACACCATCAGTGCTGTATGAAAGGACTGAGCAGGTGCATCTGTTACGTCTGGTCTGAAACTGACATTTCAGACAGAAAGTGTGAACTGTATAAAAGACAGCTATCATAGCAAAGTAAATTGGTTATTTTGTTTTTGCAGGCATTTGTCCCGTGACGCCCAATGAGATCTATGCTACCGCTGGTGAACTGGTGGTGCTAAGCTGCAGAGAGCCGAAACATAATGGTCCCGTAATGCTTTGGAAAATGGAGACAGACCAGAAGATGCACCTCTCCAGCAACATGTCAGCGTCTGAGCAGCAGAAGCTCGGTTTGGTTTTTTATAAGCACAACCTTGTGATTCTCAGAGCATCTGCAAACCATCAGGGGAATTACTCATGTGGTCCTCTGGGGTACGACCCGTAAACTGACGCTCACACACCATACCTTAAGAGTTTCTTTTTAGAAATGTATTTCAAAAGAAAAGTACACTTTACTTTAGATGTACATTTTTAAACATAGAAAAAGGCATCGGAATTATGATTTTCATGCTCTGTCCATCTTTCTTTGATGATTTACAGGAATACCAGCAGCCAGATGCGGTTCAGACTTACAATATTCCCAAAGCAATCCACCAGGAACATGTACTCTAGGGAATGTACTGCAAAGCAATCCTGCGAACTAACTTGTCGTGAAGGACGCATCCCTAATGCAGGAATCCCCGGTATTCTCCAGAAGATAGGAGAAGTGTGGCACAAGGTATTAAAATCAGCAGTGGGTCTTATCTGATTATATAACATCTATCTGACAAGTTCAAGTGAAATTACTCTTGCTAATATTGAAATCCAAAAATTCAATTGGTTTAAACTGTGGCTCCTTTCTCAGGAAAATGGTGAGCCCACCGATAATTACTTCCCAAGCGTTGGATTGGAGAAAAGTGGAGTCTACATCTGCACCCGGTCTTTCTCGTATTCTGGTGAAATATATAATACTTCCTCTTTGGTGGACCTTCAAGTTCAAACAGGTGTTACAAAACTGCCCTCTTGTTATGTCTTTATGTGTTTTCATAATTAAACTTTTGTCAAAACCTAAAATAGCAAATCCTGCATGCAGATGAGCCTCAGTCAAATTTAGGAATCTATTCACCCAAGAATGGTCAGGTTTTTGAAGTAGAACTCGGTGAGTGTTTTATTTGTAACATTAAGACACCAAAATACATTCTATAATACATTCTGTGTTATTTTTATGTTTTCATTCTTCTGTAATTTTCTTTTTTTATTGCAGGCACAAAAAAAGTGATTGCTTGCATAGCACACGTAGATTCTTGCCAAAGTAGACCATATTGGACGAGTGATGGGAAATTTGTGGATGACTTGGATGTTTCCACAGATCCATGGCAAGAGCTGAACTCATATTTCACATACACTGCAACTGACGATAAATAGACATGTAATGTAGATGTAATGCAGTCAGTGACAGCTCATTGACGTCCCTTTTGTCCTTCCCATCAGTGAAAATGAAGAGATGCCAAACAGGATGAATACATCTTTAATTTTCAGAGAGGTGTCACCTGTAAACCTGTCAAAAACGTTTACCTGTGTATTTTCAAATGACAAGCAGACCTCCGCCGTCAACATCACCCTCGTTCAAACAGGTGTGGGAATTTTCAAACGTTCGTTGTTCTCGGTTGCTCATTTTGTGATCAGATTATCTCTTATTGCAGAGCAACTGCAAAATGAGTTATCCAATAATTTCATCAACTCAATCGTCTCCCTGCAGCTCAACCTTCGCATGTGAAGCTAACCGTATGCTCTGTCTGCGTTGTGGTGTTGATGGCGGTGGTCGCTGTTGTCTACGTCAAGTTTAAAATTGACGTCACCCTTTTCCTACGAGACAAAGTCGGCCTTAAAGATTGCCGGAGCAGCACTTCAGGTGAGTCTTGACCAGAAAAAGCTCATTTGATTTTGTCTGTGATCTTAACTTCAAATTGGAAAATAGGCCCTGAATGCATTGATTCACTGCACAGATTTTGATTGTGCAAGAAGACCATTAAACCAGTCATCCATCTAACTTAATTTATTTAGAGACCGCACATATTCAGTGGTACACACTGTTGCCCTATAAATGATCGTTCTACTCATGAAATCATTTGCAGATCCAGTCCGTTTTCTGGATTATTTTCTATCAGGACAGTATAGTTAATAACATTTCTGAGAAATTATTAAAGTTGTCCAGTGCCGTTGATTACAGAATATCAACAGCACTGGAAAATGTCTCCAAAAGCTTTAAAGACAACAAATGTCTGTCTGCTCTGAGGAGCAACAAAAAAGATGTCTAAGAAGTTATGATGTTTATTTTACATCAGAATTGGTTTTTGAAGGCAGACGTGGGAAAAGTTAATGTATTTTTTGTGTGTTTAGATGAAAAAAGCTACGATGCGTTTTTGATGTGTTATAAAAGCGTCACTGATGAAGGACTGAGTGAGGAAGACAGAAAATGCCTGGCGAGTACTTTGGAAGATGAGTTTGGTTACAGCATCTGTCTTTTTGATCGAGATGTCTTACCTGGTCAAGGTGAGCTGAAATGAAACGTGGCCTATTGTGTAGTAAAGTTGTAATATTTACCCTGCACTTCTATCCTTTGCAGTTGCAGCCCAGGCCGTGTTGGACTGCATAGAGCAGAGCCGGGCTGTGGTTTTGGTTCCCAGCTTTCCAGATCCTGAACCAGGAAGTGCAGTGCTAAGCGCCATCCATGCTTCTCTAGTGGAGCGGAAGACTCGCTTGATTTTCATAAACACAGAGCAGACGGAGGCGTCGGCGTCAGGTTCGTTTCCAGAGGCTTTGCAGCTTCTGAGTAAAGCTGGGAACAGTGTCACCTGGAAGGGACGGCCGCCCTGCACCTCCTTCTGGAAGCAGCTGCGTTATCACTTACCGGCCCCACAGCAAACACCAAAAATGCAACTTTTATCACAAAAATGTTAGGATGATATCCAAAGCTAACTAACCATTTTATACTGGACTTACAACATGAGAGATAAGAAATGGAAGCCTATTTTGTTTATGCATTAACAAAAATAAGGCCGAAATCAATGTGTTTATATTTAAAATATCCTGTTTATTCATGACTTTAGACTACTGTGCTCTGTAGTCTAAAGTGCAATACACTCAGAAAAACTGATGTGTTTTATTATTTATTTTTCTGTCATTGCTTCAGTAGAAGTTGAGCATGTAACATGTTAACAGCACAGTAAAAGTGAACAGCAGAATGTGAATTAATCTCAGTTGTTTTGTTATCACTTTATTTTAACATTTTTGTTTCTGCATTTAGAAATTAAATTTCTGTGTTTATTGTCAACTGTTACTGTCTTCGCTGCACCGTTAAGTATGACAAGCAAACGTATTATGAGGAAAATAAGTATTCGAACACCCCGTGACTTTGCAAGTTCTGCCACTTAGAAATCATGGAGAGGTCTGAAATGTTAATTTTAGGTTCATGTCTGCTGTGAGAGACATAATCTAAATAATAAAAAAAAATAATCAGAAGCACCTGTTTGAGGTCATTATCTGCATAAAAACTCCTGCCCACCAAACACAGTAAGACTCCAACTACTAACATGGCTAAGACCAAAGAGCTCTCCAAAGACACCAGAGACAAAATTGCAGAGCTCCTCAAGGCTGGAAAGGGCCAGCTGTAGTGTTTGAGTAAAATAGATGCCTATGGATGGATGGATGGTAAACTGAAAGTTGTTACTGACACAAAATCGCTTCCATTTACCAATTAAGATGTAATATGTAAAATGAAACTGGAATATATTTTTAAAATATTACACAGGAAATATGTAAATAGGGAATGGGGGAAACATGCAGCGATGATCTCAGGGTCAGAAATCAAACACTGGACAGTTGCATCAAGATCTCCTGTGAGAGAGGAAATAGTATTTATGGAGTTGCTTTTGTGAAAAGATTCTTGGCATCACTCTGGGCCAAAGTGACCCGTACCTCTCTCTCGTCTCTTGCTTGTGTGTGAAGTCATAACTATTCATGACTCGGAAAGAATGCTGTTTGGACCGATAAGAACAAAATGAAAATGGAGCAGATGTCGATATCAAGAGGTCCCAAATAATTTCTCGGAAGTCTCAATACACGCTCACTATAAATGATGCCAAGAAGCCTTGCATGAATCAAGGATCTTTCCAACTCACACCAGTAGAGATGAGACTATAAATAATGTGACGTTAAGAACAGAAGGGGGAGATTTTTTAAATTTTGCGTTGACGCGATTGAGAAGATGTACTGCCGGTAATAAATCTCCACCCGTCTTTGGCCTAAGCAGCAAGAAATTGAGTCCTGTGTGCATAATTTCATTTACTCATATATTTGAGAGTTAGCCACTTTTCTAATCGACTGTTAGAAAAGTAGATTAGAAACTGGTCATTCACATGCCTCTTCCAGAAACCATCTTTTAAGACGATTCATAAGTTTCTACTAAAAATTGCAGAAGTCGGGGACAGAGGAGGAAGACTTGGTTTGTGACTCAGAGGGATAAAAGACAGCGTGACGTTCTTTCTTCAGTTTCATTTCTCTCCAATCTCACCCTGCAGTCAGATTGAGAAAATCACTAATTGATCTGAAGGAGAAGGAATGTAGGCAGGAGGCAAGCTGTTCACAGTGAAGTCTCTCGCAGCAGCTCTGAAGATGTTCCTGCTACTTTCATTCCTCGCAGTTATCTCAGGTGAGTTAGAATGGGCGCCAGTCGGGGAGTGTCTGCAAAGGAGACGTTGGACGTGCTTCCCTCGAGCACTACTTCCACATTTGCAGGATTAAAAGTTTTCCGTTCTTTTGTTCACACCGTGATCACATGGAAATGTACTAAAGTTATGAATTAAACATTATTAAGTCAAATTTAGCTTAAGAATTTGAACTCATAATTCAGAATATAAAAGGCTTGTGTGTAAGGCTTATTCAGCAAGAATAAGCCTTATTGAGGAAGCAACCCAGACAGTGACAACCGCTCTCAAGCTTAAGTGGGTGAGAGAGTTTACATAGAAAACCGTTCCAGGTTGTTTAATTCCAGGTTGTTTAATACTCAAAGTTGTGTGGGAAAGACAAAAATTGATATACTGGAGATCTTGCCTGGAATTTTTCCAAACATGCCAGAGAGACTCCAAGAAGAATGTTATTTTGTCAGTGAGAGAAAAGCCATCTATTTTTCTATGCTTGGGGCACATCACACATTGCACGTGATCAGAAACGTACCATGTACGCCATGAAGCATGGCGGTGGCAGTCAGGTGTCAGGCGGCTCGTAAAGATAGAGGAACATGAATGTGGGAAATATTTTAAAATTCAGTAGAATAATCTGACAGATATGAGCAGAGGGAGCATTAATTTACACAATAACATTTGTTTTTGGAGACTTCTGGTATTTTGCAGATTGCTTTCAGTGTGAATTTGTTTGGAAAGCCAGACCTGGGTATGTTGGTACATGTTTTGAATGTCCTTCACTTTCATAGTATTTCCCTCTCAACTGACTTTAAATTCTTGTCACACCTCTTTTTTCTTTTTCCAGTCTGGTAGGCTGATACATACAATCTTTCTTATGAGGGACTCAAACAGCTTGTTTACCATACAGCGGAGTCTGGATCACCACTCATCATATTAAATCTACATTTTTAGTTATTTCAGGTGGAAACCTTTCTCAAAAAAGTTTGTTTATGTATTAGCTTTTCGTTTTTAAAGTTACAAATCTACATGGAGTTGAAGCAATATATGAGCATAGTTATCACAATTAACCAGATTGTGATGATTTGGTAGTGAAACAGGAAGGGTCCCCGTGTTTTTTCATGTTTTCTTGTTTTATGAGATTTCACAAGAAGCTTCAAAGAATAAGAGATGGATTTTTTAATGAGGAAACTAAAACCAGGGAGCATAGCAACAATGTTTCTCAAGTCAACAGGAATGATGGAATCTTGAGTTATTTCAGAAATAAATTTGCTCACACTGTTTGGTTTCTTTTGTTGTTGTTTTTAGGCATTTGCCCCATGACAACCAAGGAGGTCTATGTCAGAACTGGTGACCTGGTGATGCTGCAATGTGGCAAGTGTAAATATGATGGTACTGTCGTGCTTTGGAAACTGGAGGCTGGCCAAAAGACACAACTCTACAGCAACATGTCAGCGTCCGAGCAGCAGCGGCTTGGTTTGGTTCTGTTTCAGGACAGCCTTGTGATTCTCAGTGCCACTTTAAACCATCAGGGGAATTACTCGTGTGGTCCGCTCAGGTACAACCCATAAACCCATTCCTGTCCAACACGTTTTCAGTCACTCCGAATATTCACTTTAACTCAACCATTCTGTCCATATAATACTTCAATCTTTCATGATTATATTAAAAATCATACATACAAAATAAAATAACCTGGGAAAAAAGTTCTTGTTTTCCAAACGATGATTTCATTATAAAGGGAAAAGCAATCTATGCCTGAATAAACACAAAAAAAACTCCATAAAGGTTAGAATCACATTTGTGTTTGGAAAGTGCTCTGTGGACTGATGAGACTGAAGTGGAGTTGATGCGTTCTGGTCTGTAAAGAAACGCTCTGATGATCTGGATCTGGGAGGCATGCAATAATTGAAGCAACCACAAATTCTACCAGAAAATCGTGACGGAGATGATCGGTGATTAGATTGTGACCTTAAGCTCATTTCCACCTCGGTTATAAAGCAGGACAAGGATCCAAAGCACACCTACAAGTTTAGTACCAAATGGCTGAGGAAACGGCTCTCCTTAAAGTGACCTGTTCACAATCCCCAATTCAATAAAAACTGAGAAATTGGCTTTTTGTCTGATTTTAAAACTTGTTTAATATTCTGCAATGGTTGGAAAATAATTTTTATCGTTACTTTGATGATTCACAGGAACACCGGGTGCCAGATGGAGTTCAGGCTCACAGTATACTCAGAGTTGTCCAGAGAGGCTGAGTTTGGAAACAGATACAGTCAAACATGTTACAAAAACCAAACCTGCGAACTGAACTGCCCTGAAGAAAACCTCCCCATTCTGTGGGAGCTGCTGGGAATCGCATGGCACAAGGTACAATGATCAGGAGATCATTTACTGCCGATGTGATTTGATTACACAGCAACAATAACCATGAACATTTAATGGTGCTTTTCTTACATTTCCGTTTCAATTTGAGTATTATATGTTATATATTATTATTATTATTATTATTGTTGTTGTTCCTGCTTTCCCAGGACAATGGTGAGATCTCAGAAGATTACTTCCTAAATGTTGATGTAGAGAAAAGTGGAGTCTACATCTGCACCAGGTCTTTCTTGTATTCTGGTCAAACATACAACACTTCCTTCACAGTGGTGCTTGATGTCCAAACAGGTATAAAAGGCCCTTTATTTACCAGGTTAAGTGTTAGTTAGTTTAAAAAAACACAAAAATTTTTGTTTTTTATGTGCAGAAAAGCCTCTGACAAACTTAGGAATCTTTTCACCAATGAATGGTAAAGTTTTTGAAGTAGAGCTTGGTGAGTTTTTTAAAAATATTTTTTTACTTGAAGCAGTGAGATACAAATAGACTGTTTTCTGGGGTTTTTTTTTATTATTATGCTATGTTCAGTTCTGTGTTTTTTTTTTGTTTTGTTTTTCCAGGCAAAACAGCAGAGATTACTTGTACGGCCCTCATAGACTCTAGCGACGGTTCTTCGCTGTTCTGGTTGAGAAACGACGAATTTGTGGAAAACAACGACACCCTTCGTTACTTCTACAACGATACATACTCAAAGTGAGAGCAGAACTCGCATTTCCACGTGAAATCGAATTGATATTGCAAACTAAATGACAAAACACATTAATATCTTGATGGTGTCCACTCTTATCTGTGCTTTCCAGAAACACGTCGGTGGACGACGTCATTTGGGTGAGCGCAACTTTAGTCTTCAGAGAAGTGTTGGAAGAGGATCTGTCTGCAAAATTCAGCTGCAAACTGGAAAGTGCTGAACTCACACGCTTCGTCTCAGTCACCCTGGATAAAACAGGCGTGTGAATTTGTAAATTTATCACATTTTTTTTTACAATCGTGCATCACAGAACGCCATGGAAAATTTGTTTTAAAGTTGCTGTACCAACTTTAAAACTAATTTAAAGTTGCTGTTAACTCTCCCTGCAGCTGGCCCTTCAGCAGTTATTCTAACTGCATGCGTCGCCTGCATCGTGGTGGTGATGGCTGTGATTGTTGCTACATATGTGAAGTTTAAAATTGACGTCACACTTTTCCTAAGAGACAAACTTGGTTCTAGCGGTTGCCAGAACAACAAGTCAGGTGAGTTTCTTTTTTTTGTTGTTTTTGTTTTTTAGTAGAAAAGCAAACCTTGTAACAAAATGCGGCTAAATCAGTTCGACACAAAGCTTCATAAAAATAAAAAGATGCCCTTAGTCTTAAAGTCAGAAAAAGAAACTTGGAATTTATAGATTTTAGCTGTGTGAGTTTTCTAATGTCAGCAGCACAAATTCCTGTTTAATTATTGTGTTGGTCAAACGTGGTTTAAAATCTGAAAATGAAGGAAAAACCTTCAAAGAAGAAACAACAATTATCTGTAGACTGTAAAAACTGTGTCTGTTTCGGTTCTTATTTTATTTGACATGAAAATGAATCTCTAAGTTAGGCACGATCTTTGATGGGCTCCAGCTTTCTCTGTGTGTTTAGATGAAAAAAGCTACGATGCGTTTTTGATGTGTTATAAAAGCGTCACTGATGAAGGACTGAGTGAGGAAGACAGAAAATGCCTGGCGAGTACTTTGGAAGATGAGTTTGGTTACAGCATCTGTCTTTTTGATCGAGATGTCTTACCTGGTCAAGGTGAGCTGAAATGAAACGTGGCCTATTGTGTAGTAAAGTTGTAATATTTACCCTGCACTTCTATCCTTTGCAGTTGCAGCCCAGGCCGTGTTGGACTGCATAGAGCAGAGCCGGGCTGTGGTTTTGGTTCCCAGCTTTCCAGATCCTGAACCAGGAAGTGCAGTGCTAAGCGCCATCCACGCTTCTCTAGTGGAGCGGAAGACTCGCTTGATTTTCATAAACACAGAGCAGACGGAGGCGTCGGCGTCAGGTTCGTTTCCAGAGGCTTTGCAGCTTCTGAGTAAAGCTGGGAACAGTGTCACCTGGAAGGGACGGCCGCCCTGCACCTCCTTCTGGAAGCAGCTGCGTTATCACTTACCGGCCCCACAGCAAACACCAAAAATGCAACTTTTATCACATGATTGCTAAGATAATGGGTGTCGTGGAGGCACAGGGGAAAGTGTGACCCATGTATGGACTCGGCCATCGCGGGTTCGAGTCCCGGCCTGACGACTTGTGCTGCATACTTTCTCATGAGCCACTTTCCTGTCTGGCAACTGCTAAATATTTACCTAAAAGCTTGGATGATACCTGATACCACCTTTAACAGAGCAAAGGGCCAAAACAGACAATCTCAAAAAGACTGCAATGAGCTCCAAGAACAACTGGAAGCTTCTTGGTGAGAAAGTGACAGCTGTTGGAGCAATTACTGAAAAATGGAAAAAATACTAAATTACCATCGTTCACCTTGTGTTTGGAGCTTCATTTCTGGTCTTGACTATAGACCATAAAAGGTGGAACCTTGAATTAGAAATCTATTGATGAGTCCTGGATGAGTCTTCCAGCAATAAATGTAGATATAATGCTAAAAGAAACATGAAGGGGCCAGAGGTGCTTTATGGTTATGAATTAACCAGTCTCGATATCTTTAATCCTGCAGAAAATCTGCAAATTCAAATTAGGCTTTGCTAAGGGATAAAAACTGTATTCTATTCAACAGTCAAACATTGTTATTGTTCATGTAATTTATGTTTTTCCTGACTGAATTACTATTGTTCTGTTTCCCCTTGTTTAAGTGAAACTGCCCTACATCTATGAGACATTAGAAAGTTCTTTTGTTTAAAAGTAAGTAGCAGAAAAACTGCAGGGATCAATGTATCACCTTTAGTCATCCAAGTAATGGGATTTCATCACAATATGACTGAGTAGTAAACTTTATCTGTCATGTGTTTTGCTGTTGCTGCTTACGCCGCCCAAGTTACTCTATGCAAAAAGAATAGCAGTCGTTCTGACCAGCTAAAATATGTGCCATGGTTTTTGTCTTCCTGAAAATGATTTTAAGTTTTTCTTTTCCTTCACTTGATGGCCCTTTACGCTGCTGTACGAGCAGATCTTGTCTTCTAATTTAGATTTTATTGATGATATGACTTATTGTGTTTTTTTTAGAATTAACAGCTTTTCATCGCTGTCAATTCTATATTCTTTTGCTAAGATTTCTTCAACATGTTTTCACTGAATCGTGAATATCTAGTCAAAATAACTTCCATCCATCCATTATCTGTGCACCCTTGTCCCTTTTGGTGCAGCTGCGTTCCGGGCGAGAGGCGGGGTACACCCTGGACAGGTCGCAGTCAAAATAACTTTCTGTCCACAAATGAAGTCCCAGAACTGTAAAATGTGAAGAATGTGTGACTTTGCTCATTGTAACCTGTTTATATGAAAGCTGCCAAAAGGCATGAAAAGTGTAAGACAAATGAAAGGTTTTTGTTTGAATACATACATAATCTTATTTCTTTTTTTTTTTTTATGATGTTAATTTACTAGTAGTAATAATTTTGATTATTGATTAGTAAAAACTTTCTGGAATAAAGTATATTCAATTTGTTTTCACCATTTACTATGATAAGTTTCTGATATTTTACTATTCATACAAATGTGAACCACAGTCTTTTCAAATGCTGGTGTTTACTTCTGGGTAATTCTGCTTTCAGCTCCTTCCAGAGCCAGTTGCTATGAAAGCGAGGCGCATGGTGCACCTCAGGTCCAGTCCAGTTCAGTGTGCAGCACAACATTGTTTCCTGCTGCTGGCTCTTTTGCTACTCCCTGAGAAAACCACAACAAAGAATGTCACAATGGCCAAAACATACTATTAAAGCAAAAAACACATTATAAGACTTCTGAATAAGATCGAAGCTTCCCCAGGAAATAGATTTTACTCATGTCCTTCTTGTAACTGTGTTGTGTGTGTGTGTGTGTGTGTGTGTGTGTGTGTGTGTGTGTGTGTGTGTGTGCGTGTGTGTGTGTGTGTGTGTGTGTGTGTGTGTGTGTGTGTGTGGGGGTGTGTGTGTGTGCGTGTGTGTGGTTGGGTGTGTGTGTGTGGGGGGGGAGGGTTGGGGTGTGTGTGTGAGGCAGGGGGTTTCCATCCAAGTTCATAGCTGTTGGATGTTTTGTTTAAGCCTCGTGCGATCTCAATATTCTGTTACAACCCACTCTAACAAAAGCCCTAAAATAAAGCTAGTTAATTGAATTTTAAATTCACAATCTATTTTGCATGATGAAACAATCTCGTCTTTATCAATTCGACTTAGTTTAATTATTTTTTTATCATGTATTTTTGTTACACAACACAAAAAGACGATCAGCAGTATAACACCCTTTTTTTTCTTTTTACCACAAACTAAGTGTTGTAACAGTCTTCTTTTACACAGTAAAGGTTTATTATTGTAATTATGTAAATGGGAAGTTATTACTTCTGGATTTATTATACTGAAAGGGAACAAAAACATCAACAATTTGGAACTTTCTAGTCAACAATTCATTCCTTTATATTTTTTTAGGAAGTGAATTATAAAATACCTCAAGTTGATGGGTGATTTGAAACTTTTGCACAGCAGTGCATTTTAACATCAGATATCATCCCATGCGACCCTGAACATGTCTCGATGTGGTGAACTACTTTTTCAGAAAATCTTGTCTCATTTGCTCCGTCGATGCTGCTTATCACGGTATCAAAACAGATCATATCAATCTGTTTCATAGTATTTGTACTATGAACATAGTACAAGTAAACTCCGCAGAGTTTAAAGTTTCTGGACAAAAATGTGTTCATGAAACTAAATTAGTCCCAATGCAAAAATTATCCAGTTCTCAAAGAGCAGCTCTGTTTGAGACTCACAGCATAAAATAAATTACCGCCCTCTGAAAATTGGTGTTTGTCATGAGGCAGATTTTAGATTCATAATCACAGGCGTTGGCCTGTGATGTCACCACGGTATTCAGGCAGGTATGTTTCACAACTCTACTTTTTTGCAGTTCTCAAAATTGAAAAAAGGTTGTCTTGCTCTATTTTGAAAATCTGAAATTATGCCATGAGGGCATACAACGTTAGTGCCGGAAAAATATTCTGATTTTAATTTTTCTTTATATTTGTAATCCTACTTCAATTTTAGTCATTAAGATTATTTATTTTTTTAATTTATTGCATATGGGATTTTCTGGCATTTTGTAAACTGATTTCTATTTCTGTTATCGCCTTTGCAGCCAAGACAACATTCTTTGCAAAGAACTTTGAATACAGCAGGCACTGAGAGCTGAACAAAAACAAATAGAAATAAAACTCAAGAAAAATGTTGAAACAGGAAAATACAATATGAAATACAAAATAGAATACATATGAAGAAAATAAAATTAAAACGAACCACTTATACCAGATTGAAAGCTACGAAGAAGAGGTGGGTCTAAAAAGCAGAATTAAAATGGTAAGTGAAGAGGCTTTTCTCATTGGTAGTGGAAAAGTGTTTTATGAGGCACAGAAAAATCCCCCATTGTATGGAAATCCAGCAGCTTGTAATTAAGCAATAGGAACAAACTCGTCCACATAATTTTGGTGCTGTGCTCATGTGACATGATCTGAAAGTACATACCTGCATCTTGACATTGTCCTCCGAATTACACAGTATGGAGATGCAAAGTGTGACAGGGATGCAAAAATGAAAAAGCAGATTTGAATCAAGAGCTGTGTTTGCATGGAGCAAGAACACAAGACATGGTGCGATGATGTAGGTCAGGTTTAGAAAAGTCATTTCAAACAGGTCATGTGGGGTTAACCATTAACTTATAAGAGAAAAATTGCATTTAAAAAATATTTGAATAAATAAATATATATATATAATCCACTTTCTAGTTTTTAATTTCTGTCTGACCTTTTTTAATATTTTTTTTCTTCCTTTTTTTGTCACAGCTGCCGCTGAGCTGTGACCACTCGCACCTGATCGGCATCCGCCTGATCCTCAGCTGCTGCCATATTAGGACGGAACTCCTCCTGCACGGCGTCAGATTGTTGTGAAACCCTCAGCGGTAACACCTTCAGGCCTGCTGTAGTAACTGGAGCTAACTGCACAGTATCTAACCTGTCTGTCTCTACCTAGATTCCTCTCCTGTCCCCGATCCCTGACTCTCCCCGCTGGATAAGGACCTCCTGGCTTCGACCCCCTGTCTGTCTGACCCTGAGACTGCCTGATCCCGATTTGGATTCCCGGTTCTGACCCTGGCCTGTCTGACCAAGAATAAGCAATTTCCCAATAAACGTCTGGTTTGGTATTCACTGTTCAGTCCCTGTGTCCATCCGTGCCTGGGCGTGACAGAACAATCTGACCAATTAAACACATGGACCAGACTGAACAGCAACCCCCTGCCGCCCTGAGGGACATCATAAGCCGACAAGGAGTCGTGCTTGGGCAAAGCGTTCATCGGCTCGCTGGACTAGAAGCGGCCAGCCAATCTCTCCATCAGGAAATCGTTCAGCTGGCCTCACAGGTAGAAAAACTAACCTCTGCGCTTTCCTCAAGTCCAGGACCGTCAGGCGCGTCAGCTGCTGTTGCTGCAGCTGCTCCTCCACCCGCCTCCTTACCGGCCGATCCTCCTGCTCTCCCCACTCCGGCAAGTTCACGGGGTCCGTATGTTCCCGATCCCCCGCCATTCTCAGGTGAACTGTCAAAATGTCGGGGTTTTCTGTTACAATGTCGGATGGTTTTTAATCAGCAACCAATGGCCTTTGCCTCCGATTTATCCAAAATATATTATGTCATGGGACTGCTGAGGGATCAGGCTTTAGCCTGGGCGCTAGCGTTTGACTCCACCACACCGTTAACCTCCCTTACCTTTAAACAGTTCACTGAAGAACTCAGCACGGTGTTTGATCACCCGGATCATGTTGGGGATGCCTCCAAACGCTTGCTGAAGCTGCGCCAAGGCTCCCGTAGTGCAGCAGAGTTCTCGGTGGAGTTTCGCACACTGGCTGCTGACACTAAATGGAACGATGGAAGGAGTGTATTATCAAGCCTTAACTGAGGCCTTAAAAGACGGTTTGTCCATCAGTGATGAGTCCAAGGACTTGAACTCACTAATCACAATGTCTATCCGTTTAGACAACAGACTTCGTGAGCGACGCCAGGAGCGACCCGGCCAGTCCGCCTCAGCGCTTCCTCGGCTGTTTCCGCCTGCGGTGGAGCGCAACAGCGCCACCCCTGTTTTCCCGCCGGCCCAGTCACAGGCTCCAGCGCCCCCTGATGACAAACCCATGCAAATAGGTATAACGCACCTGACAGCCACAGAAAGACAGAGGCGTCTTCAAACAGGAGACTGCCTCTATTGTGGTAAACCTGGGCACAGAATTTCCAGCTGCCCTGTACGGCCAAAAGACAAGGCTCATTAGAGGTGGGGTCTCTACCAGCCGCCTGCTTATTGATGTTGAGCTTTGCCACCAGTCAACTTCCCACTCATTAACAGCCTTAATTGATTCTGGAGCTGAGGATAACTTTATTGACGAAGACTTATCTAAGAAACTTAACATCCCCATTGAACCCCTCAGCTCACCATTATCTGCTAAGGGTCTTAATGGTTCTCTCTTGTTTTCTGTCACATGTCAGACACTCCCCCTGTTGATAACATCAGGGAACCACAGAGAGGTTCTCAGATTTAAAGTAATCCCTTCCTCCGGTTTTCAAATGGTGCTGGGTCATCCGTGGCTGAGACTTCATAATCCCCATATTGATTGGGTTGCTGGAAGGATAGTTAGTTGGAGTCTGTCCTGTTCTGATAATTGTCTTCGTGCTGCTCAGCCTGATTGTGGGGGTTTTGTGACAGTCCGGATCCCCTCGACCTGTCATTGGTTCCTCCTGAGTATCACAACCTAGCAGCTGTTTTCAGTAAGTCCCGAGCCCTCTCGCTCCCCCCTCACCGACCATGCGACTGCGCGATAGAGCTCCTGCCAGATGCTCCGCTGCCCAACAGTCGCTTGTACAGTCTGTCCAGGCAGGAACAGGAAGCCATGGAGACCTATATCAACGACTCAGTGGCCGCTGGTGTCATCCGCCGCTCGTCATCCCCACTGAGTGCCAGCTTCTTTTTTGTAGGGAAGAAAGATGGAACATTACGCCCTTGCATTGACTATCGGGGATTAAATAAGATCACGGTTAGGAACAAATACCCATTACCTCTTATGTCCACGGCATTCGAATTGCTGCAGGGGGCAAGCATCTTCTCCAAATTGGATTTACGTAATGCCTACCATCTAGTCAGGATACGTGAGGGAGATGAATGGAAGACCGCTTTTAAAACTTCCATAGGGCATTTTGAATACTTGGTGATGCCTTTTGGCCTAACTAATGCCCCTGCTGTCTTCCAGGCCTTTGTTAATGACGTTCTGAGGGATTTCCTTAATCATTTTGTGTTCGTCTATTTGGATGACATACTTATCTTCTCTAGGACGAAGGAGGAGCATGTTGGTCATGTTCGTCAGGTCCTCCAGAGGCTGCTGGAGAACAAATTGTTTGTTAAAGCTGAGAAATGCAGTTTTCATTTTTCCTCCATCACCTTCCTGGGGTTTGTCATTG